AACATCTCTTCCTTCCTTTTTGTTCTGCCCAGAATGATTCCAAGTAACTTCCTCCAGTTGTGATTTATCGGTGTGGCAGCGGCGTGGGGAAGCTGGGAGGAGGCAGGAGCCCCGAATTTAGGCTGCTGACTCAGCCTGCCTGCCGAAGCGGTTCTAGCTTTCCCATCCCTGAGGAGGCACTCGCACACGGTGGGCTGCTGTGTTCTGCCTCTTTGTCACCCTGTGGGGTTTTTCCCCGTCTGCTAGGGAGGGATTTCTAGCCCTGCTGTAAATACGTAGTGAAACAATAGGAAGTAAGATGATAAGGCCTCAGAGCCCCACAATTTTTAATGATTAAAATGTTTCCCTGCATTTATTACTCACCAGAGAGTGCGAAGGGAAAGGGACTCAGCTGGGGGTTGCGTGTCTTCCCAGCAGTCAGTGTGAAAGGCACGTTTAGTGTAAGTTCAGCGTGTGAGAGCCTATCTTTGTTTTGGGGGCCGTGGGCTTTACCAGAACTTCACTTGTGTGGCCTGCCCGCACAGGTTTAACGTTCTGTTTACCGGTATCCGAGAGAAAATTGCAATAAAACAGGAGGAGTAGGCTGCTGCTGTGCTTAAAGGCCTGCTGGTGCTTGAAAGCTTTGCGGATCGGGTTCTGAGCGTGCATCTTCAGACTGAGTTACTCTGGGTCCTGCGGAGTCCAGGCTTAGGTCCGTGCCCTCAGGAGCGCATCGGTGTCGGAGCGCTGCCGTGCTGGCCTCGCTGGGAGGGACCGTGAGTCAAATGTCTTTGGTTTTCTGTGCCTGTAGAGTTTGATCGGAGCATGGAGCCCTTCTCCCTGCCAGAACCGGGGGTTCCTGCAGAAAACAGCTCACCTGTGCCGCAGAAAAAATACCGAGTCCTGGTGGGTGTGACTGGAAGCGTGGCTGCCCTGAAGCTGCCTCTCCTCATCGCCGAGTTGCTGAAAATCCCTGGGGTGAGTAAATCTGTTGGTGGAGTGTTGTAAACTCGGTGTTATCCTGTTGCTCTTTTGAGGAGAGATTACGTGGCTTCTGTTGAAATGAAAACTTCCTTCTGGCTTTGAGCCCCTTGAAAATTTGTTGGGGGAGGATTCCTCCTGTTCTTAAAAATCGATTAAAATTCTTTCCTATCATTTCCTACTTCTCTACACTTAGGAGTTAGCTTTACATCAGGCTTAAAGAGCAGTACCTATTCCTGGGTGTTTCCATTCTGGAATATGAAAATACTATTGTTGAGCTTGGCTTGCTTAATTCTCTCAAAAATGATCAAACAGGTCCTTGCTTTTTTTTTTTTTTTTTCCCCCTAGACTATGTCCTCGTCAGTCAGTTTACCAGATCTGGCTGCAGACACGGGTGATGCTTTCTGGAACTTGAAATCTCTAATTAAGATATTGCAGTTTTCCCTAGGTGAGATGTGGAGTTTGCACAGATGGGCCCTGCTGCCTGACCAGCAAAGGGAAACCAGATCTTGTAAAAACAGAAATAGTCAATACAAGCTGCTCTATCTGTCTGTACCTTTTCTTTTTTTCTTCTTCTTTTTTTTTTTTTTTTTAACTAGTTTAGCGTCTGGAGTAACAGAGGTGTCCAGCAGAGGCCACTGGTGACTAGAGTGAGGAAGGGAAATGTGCTAGCTGTTGCTGTAGAATAAAGTTAAGAGGAAACCAGAAAACCTTTCGCTTTTAAGAAATTAAGTAAATATTTTGAAGCAGTGAAGTGAAAGAATGGCGGGAACAAGAGGGTGCACTTGTGTATGCAGATATATCGGTTAGATGGCTTAATGGATCTCCTTTTGGATGATTTGGGAGGCTTCACCTTGTCGATACATGAACGTAGAGTGAGAAGAGCTGTTGGGCACAGGTCCCGCCAGTTGGGCTGGTGTTGTGGGTTGCAAAGAGGGGCCTCAGTTAATTCATTACTTGACCTGAAATGATTAGTGAGGCCAAAGGTGCTAGCCTGAAGTAAGAGGGCCAAAGAAAAATGATACCAAGGAAGGGGGGGTCACCAGACCAGAGCTGGGGATGTGCATCTTCTAGTCCTCTGTCTCTTGGCTTGGCTTCGCTGGTGTCTCTTTTCCTTGGCTCTTGGAACAGCCTTCTTTGCAGGTGCTGGGAATAATGCAGGTGATCCACTGCGGGAATCGAGGCCAAGCATGATCCTTCTCTCTGAGCATTCGATTTGTGATGACCAACCGCAGCCGGCTGGACCTAAGGGCTCTGCAGAGGCCCGTGGGCTCTGGGACATCCCTGGCAGGCTTCGTGGCCACTGGTTTTAGGCTGGGTCACACAAAATGCGCAAGTGAAGCATCCAGCCCAGGAGCTTCTGGTACTTAATGTGTTAATTGAAATTATTTATTTCCTCATTTCTGATGTGATCTCAAGGCCTGACCTAAAGCCTGCTGAGTCAGTGTAACTTTTCCTTGAGATTGTTAAGTCCTGCACAAGCCCGTTGCATCAATTTCTTTACTGGTGGAACAGAACGTTAAAAAGCCATTGGTGGAAGCAGGGCAGGAGCAGAGGAAGGCTGCGATACCAAAGGAGATGTGGTCAGAGGCTTGAAACCGGAGTGGTTAATTTAAATTGGTGTTTTGGCTTAAATAATCCTTGTTGAACGTCTTGGCAGTGTGATTTTGCGCTCGTTAAACTTTAACTTCTCCTTGAGGGTGATAATGGATGTGACTACATCTTACTGCCTTTTGTTTAACCTCTTTGAAGATCCAGGAAATTCTGATGGCATCAGCCTACACCTTTCAGGTTATTACCCTTGCACCTGGTGTTGTGGGGAGACAGCGCAGAGTGTCTCGTCAGGACACTGTGGGTAGCTCTCGTGGTTGTGCTCCACTCACACACATTGTCTTGGGCTGATTCCTAGAATTTTTGAATGGCCTGGCAGGAATACGATGACAAAAATCATTTTGGCAGGATATTGGTTAGTCCTAAAGAAAGGCCACGACAAACTGTTCTGTGGGTGAAGCGTGTTGCTTTTGAAGGTACAGGATGTCGTCTGGACTTCTAGGTTTAAATCCCATCACGTCGTTTCATTGTGCTCCTGCCAGGTGGCCTCTGCCTCGGCTTGTTGGTGCCATTTAACAGAGGAGCTGCTTGTTCTCTTCTGCAGCAGTTGTTACCGAAGCTCAGTCTGGCTGTAAAGATTTTACTGTCAAAACTGAGCAAGTTATGATAACAAAAAAAATCATACACACACCCTTACCCCAAGCAGAAACAGCTGCAACAGGAGAGTCCTCCAGCAGAGACCAACAGCATTGCGTGAACACGGGAGAGCGGTTTTGCAGTAAAGTTCACTCTGGAGAATTGGCTTAAGTGGTCCAAGTAAAAGAACTCTTAACTAGTCTAAACTGTCTCCGGTAAAGGAGTTTCTGAGTGTGGCTAGACTGCCTTTACTATTTAAGCAGAGTTATATCCACAGGCAAACAGAGGGTGTGCCAGGTAAATAGAGAGAAAAAACTATGTAGGCTAAAGTGATCTTGAGAACACTGATCTCTTTCCAATGTAGCTGGAGGGACTTGAAGGACTTGCTCAGAACAAGGGAACCAGGAGCCCACCCCGGCAGAAACCCTTAATTAGGGAGAATATTTAACTAATAGAGCAGCTTTCTTGGGGGAGTGGTGGAGTCACCACCACTGGGAGTCCTTGAACATCCCTCTGGTGTGCTCTGGCTTGTAGTGGGTCAGATGCAGTACTCGATAGCCAGCTGGTCCCTGTTCCTGGGCTTATGCTTTGAAGAAATATGGGGGTTTTTTAAGACCAGAGATGGGTATGAAACTATTTTTTTTTTAAAAAAAAGCAGAGTGTCTTTTGGGGATTTTTCTGTGTCCTTTAGCCTTAGAGAGGGGTATTTCTGCTCTAGATTAGAGAAGTTTGAGTAATGGCGCAATTGAAGTACCAAGTTGCTTGTGGGACGTGGGAGATCGAGTTGTATCACCTAAAAATCCCTATACCCTTATGGCTGACTGTAAAATAAAAATACAGTTAACAAACATCACTGCTGCAAACCTTTAGTGCAGACCTGGCCTGCTGGTACCGTTTCAGAGAGCAGACGTGCCCCTTTAAACTGCACGTTGCTCTTTAAAATTGCCAGATAAAGAGTGCCTTGCAGACTGCGAGGTTAACACCTCCCCGAAGCCCACGGCATAGCGGAGAGCAGCGTTAGCACCTTTGTGGGTGCCGCTGCTTGGCGCCAAACAGCTTCCTGTGAGCTGAGGTTAGTACGGAAGCAAGTCGGCTGATTGCCGTGAATATGATCTTCGCACTCAAAAGCACTAGAAATGCAGCTGTGATTCCAAGTTAGGGTCACTTGAAAAAGAGCAGATGTTTAGAAGAGGCGAAGAACCAAATACTGTACCAAAGTACCAAATACTGCTGCTGCACACAGCTCTATTTCCCCATTGCTTTTTTTTCAGGAAACAGGAAAAATTACCAAAGACCGTGATATGCCAAGGCTGGGGTTGTCCACTGCTCCCAGCTGTTATTCTAGTCACGTAGGGTGCAGATAACCAACACTGCTCCGTTCCCAGTCGAACAGATAGTGTTGGGGAGATAGGTTAACGTGTTTTGTCACTTCGACCGCTGCTGTTGAAGATAGCTTCTTGGAGGTTGGAGGTTTTCAGCAGTCTGCTTTAGCAAGAGCGTGCAGATCAAGTACTTCATCAGTTTTGTACCTCAGGCCACAGTTTTCTAGTGGGAAGGTGTTGTTGGTGAGGCTGGTTTCTCCCCATCTCACTGTTGGGCTAATAGAACCACGCAGTGGGTTACACTGTGAACTGCTTGAAGGAGCAGAGAGTGGTTGAAAGTGGCCAGTAACAAGGAAAAGGGTAATTTTTTTAGCTGCGATCGGTGACCTGAAGTACATCTTCCACATCATCAGTATTTTCAGAGCACTCCCTCCATGTGTTGGCCCACCTGTCGACAGGTTTTAAGGTACATCCTTGGCAGGAATTGCATGGAAACGGAGTTGCATGCCCTGCACAGGTGATCAGTGCGTGTGGAGCTGCTCCGACACTGCCTCTGCTTTGCGGCTGATCCCGATGTGTCCAGCATCTTACCTTGATAGGGAAGATAGCGGAAAGCACAGTCCCAACTTGCTCCTGGTATTTTCGCCCCTGCCTGGAGCAGGTTTGATTAACATGCTTTTAAAAAGTAGTATCCAGTAGTCTATAGCTACCTCCCCACCTTTGGCACCAGGAGGTCATCGAGAGAGAGGGACAGGGGCAGAAAGAGCCGGAGAGAGGTGCCCAACATGGTCCGTTCGACCAAGAAATGGTGCTCTGTCTTCTGAAGCCCGTCTTCCTTGTGAAGCCTTGTGCAGCAGAAGTGGGCGTGCTTTGTGCTGGTGGGGCTGAGCCCCAGCTAACCTTCTTGCCCCTCCACAGTTCTTTTGATCGCTCAGCACTGTGCTTTCTCTTGGCACAGAGCTTCCTCTTGGCTCCGAGTGTGGGAAGAGTGATCCTGCAAGCGCCCTGTAGGCATGCCACCCCTCGGCAGTCCTCTGTGCTGTGGTTAAGGGAATCCACTGAGGCAAGATGCTCTCCTACTCCCTTTGGCAGGCGTGTTTTGAGATTAAAGGGAGTCTTTCACAGAGCTTTGGTTTGCTGCTTCATACTGTCTCTTTGAAGGTCTGTGCAGAATTGCATCTCATGCTGACCTGCTCTGTCCTCTCTGCTGTCCCTGCTATGAACTGGCCGTGCAAGCGTGTTTGGCAGGTGGTGACTAATCATCTGCCCATTTTAGGTGGCCTGAAATGAGTCTGTGGTGGCCTGGCCTTTCAACTGTGAAAAGGGGAAGGTCCTCTGAGAATCTGCATAGCTTTCAAAATCTTTGTGGCTCGAGCCCTCCTCCTCTACCCAGCTTTACAGGATTGTCCTCAGGTCTAACTCAGGTCTGTCTGTCTTTCCTGATTAGCTTGAAGTGAAGGTGGTCACTACTGAGAGAGCAAAGCATTTCTACAATGCCCAGGAGATTCCTGTCACCCTCTACGGCGATGAAGATGAATGGCAGGTGAGTTGTTCTTCCTTTGGAGACTGCAAGGGCTTCTGACCTGTCCCCACTGGCCACATGTTTTGTAATGCAAGCAGTTTTGTCATGCACTCGTGCCCGTGACATCCAGAAGGCCAATGGGTCACGCTTCAGAAAAAAAGCAGGCTCCCTGGGAGACTCTCTTAGTAGTTTTAAGTGCTGAACAGCAAACAGAAGAGTTCCACTAAGTTCCTTTGCGAGAGACCACATCTGTATATTTTTTTTAATCCTGGGCCAAGACTCACTTCTTTGTTCTAGTAAGGTATACTTTGGAATAGGGCTTTCAAAGAATGTGGTTCCAACCCTGCTGTAAATGAGGAAGAAAAGAAAGGCTGCCCTGACTGTACCGGAGGATTTGGTACCCCTCCAGCAGACTTGCAGCAGGCAATGAGGGTAGAAGTGGTCTCCCACCAGCCGGGGCTCAGCCGCTATCCGCAGCCCTGAGAGGAGTATCAGAGACCTGCCAGAAAGCCGCTGCACAGCCACAGCGATGGTGTTTGGCTCATGAGTCATACTTGTCACGAAGGCAACAGCTTAGTTCTCCTTAACACTGCGTGTTCTGAATCTACAGACCTCGCTGACGTGTGCGAAACTCCCCACACTGCTTTAGGGCTCAGCCTGGTGTCCGCCTGGGGAGCCTTCTGCTGGTAGGGCTGCCCTGGTGTAGCGGTGTAGAGGAAGGCCAGTATCTGGAGGTGTCGTGCACCAGTGCGATAGGTGGCTGGAGGTTAGAGGGGTTCTCCTGGTGGAAGTGGTGTTTCTCTGAGGTGTCTGCATCTGGGCTTGTGCGCAAACATAGAAGAGGCATTCCAGTAAGGGGTAGCTCAGTTGTCAGGGCTGTGAGCTCCTCTAGACCCTGTAAAATGACTTTTTCTCCCAACTACAGTTTTGCTGACATGCTTTGAGAGTCCCTGAATAGGAAGAGGTTCATTGTAGTAAAACACATGTTGATGTTTATATATGTTTTACCTCTACTTTGCAGGACTGACCTGAGCACAAGGTGATCTACCCTTTACTGATACTCCTGCCGATGCACTCACACATGAGCATCGCTTTTGTGTGGGGAGAGGCACGCTAACGGCGATGGCCAGGAAGTTTTCTGGCTGGTCTAGGAGATTGGTGGAGATCTGCTGGGTGCCAGGGTGCTGCAGCTCCAGGCAGTTATTTCTGAGGAGCCCTCGGTGGGGTGATAGAAGAGGTGCAGGTCAGGCTTTGAGGTCTGCTGGCACACTGGAAAGCACGCATGGAGCTCTTATAATGCACTGTTATGACAGAGGGTGGGAAATAAGCCTGCTCAGCATCTGTTTGTGAGATATTTTACTCTGAAAACAAAACCGCAATTTTCAGTGCTTCTAGGAAAAATAGAAGTGAGTGGAGGAGCTGGGAAAGGTGTCAGGAAGCACCAGCTTTCCGGATGCTGTCTTTTTGTTGTGGTTCCCAGTGACTCAGAGAAGGAACAGTTTGTGGCCCTGTTGCACCTCTTGCTGGCCTGTGGTTGTGTGTGTCCTCTGGGGATTAACCGCCCGATACTGTTTGCTGCTTCTCTTGGCACTTTCCCAGTTAACTGTGCTCTTGAGAAAAGACCAGGACTCTCTTGAGCAACTCAGAGCTTGAGTGAAAATGGAAATATACACTTAAGAGTCAAGAGAGGAGGAAAGTGCCCAGCTGGCTAAACCTCATCCATCTTTGAGAAAGCCAACAGGACTGCACTTACTCCCCACTGTACTTACAGGGTTTACTTTGCTGCCACGAGTATGCGTAAGGGGTGCATCCTAATTGAAAGCAACTTGTGCAGTTAGGGGCCTGTACCTCGTTAAAAGCCAGCAGACAGCTTCACTTGAAAGAAATATAAATCACATGGGTTCCTCAGGAAATGTGACCCCCTGGTTTCGTCCTGTCTGGCTTCAGTTGGCTGATAGGATGGAGCTCTTTTCTCCGCTGAGATATGTTACGTGTTGAGAGGGCTCTCAGGAACAATTCTGAAGCTGAGGAATGATGTGAATGGGAAGTGGATGGGGAAAACTCTTCCCTGTGAGTTGAAGTCTGTGGTTGTTGGGCATGTGAATTGGCTTTGGGGGAAAAAGATACCCATTTGTAGAGCACCGAGCACATCGGTGCCGTCTGTTAACTGCTTCCTAAACACAGCTGCAACACGGCCTTTGCTGGAGGAGGGGGGAAATCAGACAAGGGAGGAGTGGCTGCAGTCCCTGGTTCCCCACGCTGTCAGATCTTCCTCGATGTGAGAGTGGTTCTTTCCCCTCCAGTTTACATGGTGGCTGCTGATGGGGAATTGATCGAGTGCCTGTTGTTCACGGCGTTCGTTGTGAGGGTTTGCCAACCTGCATCTCGTCTCATCCGCAGCTGTGGAAAGGTCGCTCAGACCCAGTGCTGCACATCGAGCTCAGACGGTGGGCCGACCTGATGTTGGTGGCACCCCTTGATGCAAACACACTGGCAAAGCTCGCCAACGGCATCTGTGACAACCTGCTGGTGAGTAACTGGAGCTCTGCCCGAGAGTTCTCTCGCCTCCCAGCGTTCGACTGTCTGACCTTTCTTTCATGGAAACTCTTGTGCTTCTGCAGCATCGAGAACAGTGAGATTTGCATGTTCTGCTCCCGCTTCAAGTGCTTGTCTCTCTTCCTCCAGTATGGTTCCCCTATTCCTTCTCAAACAGTTGTTCTTTCCTTCCCTGACCTGCATCCCTTTCCACTCCTCAGCTCTGTCAGTCTCTTCCATTATTTCCCAGTCCCTGCTTTGTGCCTTTGCTGCTCTTTTGGACGGGTGGTGTTTCTCTCTCTCTACCTCCACCCTCTCTCCGTCATGCGTGTACACACACACTTGGGCTCACTTTAGAGTTCCTCTCTGCATTTTTTAGATGCAATCTGGAAAGACACCTGTGAGATCAGATAAAATTGTTTATTTCCTGCTACGTCACCTCCTCCCTCACCTAACTGCATAGCACGGAAACTCGAACATGCTCACACTTACTTACCTTCCAGTTTCAAATACAGGGGATTTTACTTGTTCAGGCTTGTTTTTCTGTTATTAAAAGTGCTCTGGCTCAACGGCTGATCAGAAAGTGTATTAAAAGACAGTGTGCTTCTCTGTTGGGTGCTGGGGCCCTTCAGCGGGCCTGAATGCTTGGTGTCTGGGTGTTAGGTCGTCATTAGGAGAAGTCATAAGCATTAACCACCCAAAAGACCTGCCAGGGAGCTGCAGATCTGCAAACGCTGCCGGGGTGCATTACCCTTCAGTAATGCAGGGAGGCTAGAACTAGAGATGGGAACATCAGCTGGCCGGGGAGCCCTGCGTGACCAGCTTAGCTGTTCGGGTAAGGGGAAGTGCACGTAGATGAACAAAGTAGAGCCAGAGCAACAGCCCTCAGTTCTAGGAGTAGATCACCAGAGATCTGAGAGAAGCCAGAAAAGAGCTGTGGGAGGCACAAGTAATGTCTTGTCCTTCGGGGTCCCCTTGGTACCGTAGATGTGATTGGTAGTAGCAGAGGGAAGCACTCAGGAAGGGTGTTAGGGATGTGTTGCTGCACAAACTCCTGCCAGTCTTTTCAGAGAGCCTTGGGGAGGGAAGAGGTAGCTCCAGCAAAGGAAAGCAAGTGCTGGAGGTGCTGGCTGGCAAGTTAGAACAGATTCTAGCAGACTTTCCTGTGCTGGGAAGGGTTCAAATCGCAGGGCATAAAAAAGGATGGGCAGGGTTCTCGTAAGTACTCTGTGATCTGAGCAGAGACCCTGCACCAGAGGCTGTTGCTACCTGGGAAGCTCCCTTTGCATGATTTGAATGCTGGTAGGCCTAGGGAAACTGATGCACGTTGCATTAAGAGCAGCCAGCATTTATCTTCTTAAGGAGAGGAGGTGATGCTGGGTTATCTGGAAGCTCTGTATGGCTGAGGAGTCAGATGTGATTCCCTGTAGCACGCAGGAGCTGCTAGATGGTTTGTGATCTGCCAGCATCTTCAGCAGCCCAGATGCGCTGGTGTTATCCTCCGCATCCTGGAAGCAGCAGCGCTTCCCTTGTGAGGGGTTACAGATCCAGTTGGCATATCATTCAGAAAAGACTCGCTTGCCAACTACTTGTGTTTAGCTCTACAGCTGGCTTACCTGAAGTGTTGCCCGGGGATTTCTTTACAGCTGATATGATCTGTGGCCACCCCTCCGCTTCTCTGTCTCCCACACAGGCTGGCAGTCTGCACACGTCGTGTTCCAGCTTGGTTTGCTCCAGCGCCTGGGCTGCTTGCTTGGCCCAGAGCCGGAGTAGGATGGGATCTATCCTCTTTGTAGCCTCCCTCATCTCTCTTGCCTGTCAGAGAGGAGCTTTTCTGGGTTGTGAGACAAATTAGTGTCAGCCCTGGGGAGCTGCCTGTGGGTTAGTCCAGCTGCACTGACAGATTGAGGCTTTTGGCCCTGTCCTGACACCCAGGCTGGGAAAGCGCTTCTGTGCAGCAAAGCGATGAGAAGGAATGAGGAAAGACGACCCATCTCAGAGCTGAACCTCTTGGCTTCTCTTGCAGACTTGTGTCATCCGTGCCTGGGATCTGAGCAAACCTCTGCTCTTCTGCCCAGCTATGAACACGGCCATGTGGGAACATCCCATCACCGCTCAGCAGGTGGGGCAGCTGAAAGGCTTTGGCTACACAGAGATCCCCTGTGTGGTGAAGAAACTAGTGTGTGGAGATGAAGGTCAGTCCTTTTGCATGTCTTCTGACTCCTTTCCTCCATGAGCGCTGTTCTTCTCCTGAAGGGACGTGCATTCTTTTGCCATGTGGCCTTCGAGATGTTGAACTGCAGGGAGCAGGTGCTCACTGCCAGGGTTTATACAAACAGATATTGTTCTTCTTCATTAATTTTTAAGAAGTCATAAGAGACCATCCAAGCTAGGCTGTCAAATGAGCTGTTAGATGGTCCTGATATTCAAAAGAAATACTTATTCAAGAAGAGAGTAGATGAAAGAGAAGGAAGGCTTTGTGGTGAGCATTATCAGCCTGGGATTTGGGTGTCCTGACCTTGCCCTCTGCTGTGACTGTGGGCTGTTTTCATCATGCCTCAGTATCTCATCTCTAACATAGGGATAATATCTTATCCCTGAGAGCAGACAGTGAGAATAAGTGCTTTGCCAACGTGGCTGAGGGTGTAGCTGGAGGTGCATTTAACATTTGTTGTTGTTTGTTGCCTGGGTTACTTTTCAGCTTCCCAATTGAGTTTTGATTTGGGGTTTTGACATCAAACTTATTTATGAAGTGGAAGAGGTGGATAGGGAAAGTTATCACGCTCAGTTTCAAAAGACTTAACTTGCAGTGCTAAGAAATGCCACTAAAGTGGTCTCATTTGTGTTTTAGGAGCTGCTTTAAATGGGAGGGTTTCCAAAGGGTTTTTATACAAGCAATTTGAATGAATCGATTCACTTTTTTATCAAAATTTTCTTGGACAAATTGTCTGTAAAATGTCACCCAGTTCTTGCCATAATAGCAAATGTGCTATTACCCGCACAGTAGTGTACTCGTACTTTTGTATAACAGCCCCAACTCTAGCGGGATTTTCACCGCTCTGTCAGATAGTTCAATAAACAGTCTGTAGCAAAGACAGGATGTTAAAACCTTCTTCATGGTTAAACTCTCTGACTGGCTTAGTTTCTGGATTCTTAGGTGGGTGCAATGTTTCTGGAGAGTGTTTTTTTGGAGCTGGAGACTAAGAAATATTTACAGTTCGGTAAGTGTAGTCAAGTAACTCAGGCATCAGTTGAAATATCCTGGACTGTTATGCTTCCACTGGGATTTTAGACCTGTTTACATCAAATTTCTTACGTACTTGTAATAAAGTTAAGGGAAAACGCCCGAAAGAGGTCATTCTGCACAGACATTTTGGCAGAAGTGGAAAGGCCATCTGGCATATCTTCTTTGTCCTTTGCTTTTTCCCTTCATCTTTTCTAGTACATGTACAGGATCTCTGTTCCTGTAGGAAGCAGCTGAGTGCCTCCTGACGGGTCCTGTGCTTGTGCTTGCAGGTCCGTGCACCGAGGCTGTTGCTGTCCCTGTTTCGCAGGTGGGGATCTGACACGGCAAAGGGCCGTGTGAGTTGGCTCACCAGCACAAACGGGTTAGAGTTGGGCGACGGACATGATTTCCTTCGGCTGCTCTGCCCTGCCCCTTTCCTGGGGGTTGCCACCCTGCGGCAGGGATGAGGGAGCCGCCTGAGCAGCAGCACGTGAATTGCTGGGGTTTGTAGCTCCGAAGGGCAAAGTAAACCAGCGCTGGTTGCGGGTTACCTTATTCCACCAGCAATTGTTTGGGAGCTGCTTCATATTCAGTTCCGTTGTCTCTGCTGTGAGAACCAACTCCTGATGGAGCTTGTAGGAGAGGGATGGTGCGGACAGCTGGCGCAGTAGTAGCCACATCTGGCTCAGCTCCGCTTGTGTTTTTGAGTCAATTCACAGGAAGATTTTCCTGTTGGCAAACACCAGGATTTTCCTGGCATTATGTAGGAAGATTATGGCAAAGCAGTTGTTATGGTTTAACCCCAGCCAGCAACTAAACACCACAGAGCCGCTCGCTCACGCCCCCTCAGCAGGATGAGGAGAGAGAATCGAAGAGTAAAAGTGAGAAAATTTGTGAGTAGTTTAGTAATTGAAATAAAGTAATAATAAATTGTAATGAAAAGGAAAATAAAGAGAGAGAATGCCCAAGAAAGACAAGTGATGCAAATGAAAACCTTTGCTCACCACTACCCGACTGATGCCCGGCCAGTCCCCGAGCAGCCCCCCAGCCAACCTCCCCCCCAGTTTTATTGCTGGGCATGACGACACATGGTCTGGGATATCCCTTCGGTCAGTTGGGGTCGGCTGTCCTGGCTGTGCCCCCTCCCAGCTTCTTGCACGCCCCCAGTAACTTGCTGGTGGGGTGGGGTGAGGGGCAGAAAAGGCCTTGACGCTGTGTGAGCTCAGCAGTAACGAAACCGTCCCTGTGTTATCAGCACTGCGTCCAGCACAAGTCCAAAACACAGCCCCATACTAGCTACTATGAAGACAATTAACTCAGTCCCAGCCAAAACCAGCACAGCAGTGATGGACTCCAGGTCTCTGAAGACTCAAGACAGTCTCTATCACTGGCTCTTTTCTCTCTTCCTCTCTTCTTTCAGGCCTTTCACCCCAAGGCCTCCTCTTCCACACTAACTTTGGTTTTGTGGGTTTCATCCACAAAGGGGTTTGCCCATCTTTCAGCCAAGCAGCAGGTAGCAAAGCTCACGCATCTGGTGCAGAAGAAAAGAGATTCAGTTTGCACCAGTTTTGTCTGTTGACATTGTGGTTTGTCTTGCTGTAAAAGAGGTTTGTCTGCCTCAGCTCATGCAGCTGGTTTCACCTGAAATGGGCCAGATCCTGACTGCCACCAAGTTTCTGCATTACATGCTTTACCTGATTAATTTGTTGTCTTTAGTCAATGGGTGGACATAGAGCCCAGGTAAGAGAGTTAAAACAACAAATTAAATTGAGTTGACAACTCGAATGTTTCCTTGATTGGATAGTTAAATGTAACCTACCAGCTGTGGCCTTGAATATAACCATGTGCCACGATAGAAAGAGAGCTCTGAGAGGTGCTGTACCGCGTGGACCTGCAGCAATTCGCCTTTGCAAAAATGTTTCCAAACTGCTAGTATCTTCTTCATCTTTGGCTCGATTTCTGGAGCCTGGCACACTGGAAAATTTCTCCTTGTAGGCATGAGCTGTGCTGTAAGACAGGCTGTTTAGCAAGATTTTGCTCTGCTAAACCTAAAAATCCAGCTGTGAATTGCCAAAGATGTTGAGGAGGTGGGTGCTGAGGGACAAAGGCAGGCCTTGGAAATGTTCTCAAAGGGTGTAGCTCTGCCAAACCGTGCAGAGACAGTCAGGGAATTTCTCTTGTTTAGCAGGACCTGTCAGCTGCAGCAACTCTCCTCCAGGTCAGGAGATCAGAAGGGCCCAAATCTGCCTGCAGCTTGTCTGCAGGATGCTTTGGACCTCCTGGGATTTACAGGTCTGAAAAAGGCGTACTGGAGAGCGAGTCTTACTTTGGAGAGAAACCAAATTTTTCTTGACCTTCCAATAGTGTTGTTTGTCATCTCAAATCCTCAGTTATATCCGATTACACCTTCTATCCCAGACAAGGCTCAGGTGGCTCACCTGTACAGAAAAACTGAAGGTCTGGGCAGATTTGGGGCTGTGATTTGCCCACAAGAGAGCACCTCTCCCTGCTGGTCAGGACATCCTTTCCCCTTCCCCTCTGCCTCTCACCTGCCTTTCTCACCAGTTGTTACTGCTCTTTGGAGGCTGCTGGTTTAGCTGTCCGTCTGTGTGCTCGCTAACTCAGCTGTGGAAGCAGACCAGAAGAAAAAAAGAGGAAAACAAAAACTCCCAGAAGTAATTTCTGATGATTGATAAGGCACATATTTTAAATCATTAGAGCAGTTAGCCAGCAGGACAAAAGATCAATAGAGACTCATGTCTTTTCAATCTTCCAATGGAGACAAATGCTGGTGGGAGAAGTATCTTTCCTCAGCCCCAAGCAAATTACAGGAGAGAAAGGACTGAATTATGTGTGCTGAGCTCAGTACACAAGGTTGGACAAGATGATTTCATGATGTCTGGCTTTAAAATTCTGAGCCTAAGTTTAAAAAGTATTTGAGAGGGAAGCAACAGCACAGTGTAGATTAGATGTTCATCTGGCAACTAACCAGCCCAGAAGGAAAATCTTTTACAGTTTGTTCTGTCCAGCACTTGGTCTTCTCCAAGAATTACTCCCAGGATTCAAGCTGGTGTGAATCCAGGACAGCTTTCTCTAATGTGGGTCTAACTGCAGAGTCATGGGAATGGTATGAATTCGGAAAGTCTTTTTTTATAGGCAAGGGCCATTTCAAAAAGATATTGGACACATGCAGTGTTTACACTGGAGAAAGGAGGTGAGGTAGGGTGTTTTGCTACCCGCACGCTTTTTGGAGATGCTTTTGCACACTTGCCCCCAGGGCAGTGTGAGCTGAGATAGTAACTCCCTGTGCAGTCAAGGGCTAGATGCAAACACCTCTGGAGATGATTCAGAACATGAGGTACTTATTAAGGTCACATGAGTTGCCTTTTGAGGTTTCCTGCCTCTCTCCATTGACTAAGGAGCTTGTGCTCCTCCTTAGGCTTCTGAGTTACGAGCCAAACTAAGGTAGCGTGAATGCTCTCCTCCCCTGATGGCATCTGACCGTGCCACAAAACCCCTGCAGACCCAGGTGGACTGAGCAGATCCTCTGGCCTCCACAGTTGCTTTCTGTTGGGCGAGTCATGAGGAAACCCCGTAGGGGTGCTCGGTGAGCTTTGCTGTGCTGGGCCGCTGTTGTGCGTCAGCGGGGTGTGTGGAGAAGAGAAGTGGTGGGACGAGGAAGCACATGCCTTCTGCTGTCTCTGTGGGGCCTGGATTTCACCGCCTGGTTTTGGTCTTACCCGGCAGGTCGAGGTGCCATGGCAGAAGTGTGGACCATTGTGGAGAGCGTGAAAAGGATCCTTGAAGAACAGGGCCTGCCAACGCAGAGCTGATGGTTTGGCATGTAAATTGTTTTTGTGTGCCTCCCTGATGATTTGAAGATAAAACCACAGGAAACTGGGTCGAGGTGGCACGCATACCTACAGCGTGCTCTTCAACCGAAGGAGCGAAACGGTTGTCTTCCAGCTGGTGCCAAACTGAAACGCGGTACATCGCTGCAGACTGTCAGAAACCAAAGCCAAGGACGTGTTTCTTTAGTGTGGGAAAACTCTGGGGTATCTTGCAGAGGGAGTAACGTTCCCCTAGGCCACTCAGCCCCCAGGATTTCACGCGGGCTCCTTTCCGAGGAGGCTGCAGAGCCATTGCCAATGTGTTTCGAATCCGGTGGTTCCCCCAAGAGCTGTTAGAGAGGAAAGTGCTGTGCGAGTCCTGGTGATGGGGACAATGCCAGCCCCTTCCAGCATGTTGGTGTGGGGACATCCCTGTTCTCCAAAGCCCGGTCTGTGGCTGTGCTGGCTGACCTTTCCAGCAGGAGTCACTGTCCAAAAAGCATTTCCCCTTCGGGAACTTAATAAAAGAGAGCTCTGAATTCTGCCCCTGAAGAACAGCCTCTTGTAGCTGCTCTGGGGGGTGTTTGTGCCTAACGCCGCTGCTAAATCGTGTCTGTGTGTGATGGGGAAAAAATGGACGGAAAGCAGCTATCTAGTCCCTGAATTACCCTTTGCCCTTTTGTATCTGTTGACTGGATAGGGATGCAGACGTCAACTGTGAACCAAAATGCCACCCATCTGGGTGCTCCTGTCAGGAAACGAACAGACCAGGCCCTTCTGGAAAGCCAGGGTGGGTGTTTCCCACGGGAGTGAAGTCAAACTTCACCTATGACAATCCTCTTTGTCTTGAAAATTAACCGATTGGCATGAAAAAATTGGGAAATCCTGTGACCCTGTGAGCCAGACCAGCCGGGGCTCTCCCAGTCCAGCCTTTCCTTGGAAATGTGATCCCGCTCCTGAGGGGAATGGGAGCAAACTGGGCTGTCAAACACGTCGCTGTAGCAGAGCGCTGCTGACCCAGAGAGTTTATTTTTAACTAGACCCAGTCAAATTTAAGGCCTTTGGTACAGAATGTGCATCCTGGCTGTGGGGACAACCTTCAGGCTGCTGCACTCGAGGGAAGAGGTTATCGGGGTGTGTTTGCTTTCCTTATCTGTTCCACACAAATAAAAACCGCTGAACTTTCCCATTTTTGGCCCTTCCACTGACAGAGATCTGGAGATTCAGAGCTTCTGGGGCTCAAGTCAGAACAATCCTTGTGTGAGCGGAGCTCGTGGCTCATGCGAAGGGCCGTGGTGGGACCATGGTCGTGAACTTTGCGTTTTGCCAGCAAAGTCATTGTGGTGTGATCCGCGGCATTGGCTCACGTTTTGCGTGGTGAAAGCTATCCCCTGTTGTCCCAAAAATCACCTGTTACCCGGTGTGCAAAGAGCGGAGAAGCACAGAGAGTGGAGATACCTGTTTAATTGCAGTTCTACGCAGAAAAGGCTGCTGGGTGGTAACTCCACAGAGCTAGTGCAGGGTTTGAGAAATAAGCTGGGTCTTTTGTACAGAAAAAGAATAAAGTGCAGCAAAACAAACGATGTCGCTCCCAATTTTACATATGAAAACAGACATTTAACATTCTCTTATCTTGATACTCCTGTTGTCTTTGAGATTAGTCTGGTGCCACCAAGGTCTGACGCCTCCACCCCTCCATTCAGATTGGGAAACCTGGAATGTTTGTGGCTGTTAACACTTCTCTTGACAACAGCCCTATCAGAGGATCTTACTTTAAGCTTATCGAGAGCGGTAGAAGAGGTGCTTCTCGGTTTCCATGCGTTGTTGCTTACAGAGAAATGTATGTTCTAGCAGTCGCAACTGTAACTCGACCTTGGGGCTCTGCTCTGGCTCTGCCATGGATATCTTGTCTGGTCGGAGTTGCTTATCCTTCCTCCTAGTCGCTGCCTTGGCAATGCAGAAAATCCAACAGCAACGTTCCTCATTCCAGATCGAAACACCACGTCCTTGATAAGAGTGTTCTTCTGCTACAAGTCTGGTTTGCTGGCTTAAGCTGCTCCAGAAATGTTGGCAGGTACCGTCTGGCTTCTCCTGGCACCGGGGAGCAGGCAAGAAGGCATACAGCGTACGCTGCAGAGCGCAAGCTCTGGGAATTTGGCAGAAAGGGGATAATGTGGCATTTTTAGATCCAGAACTTATGCTGGGTCACCTGATAGCAGCACAGAGCTGACACCAGCCCTGGTGGGCTGAGCTGTAAGGCGGCAAGAAACTGCTGAGACGAGAGTTGCCTCTCAGGCTTGTTGAGAGGCATAAATTAAGGCTTGCAAAGAACTCACAGATCCCTGAATGAAGGGAGCTCCTGCAAGTATATAGGGCAGCAGTACAAATATGTAGCTGAGCAGAGCCCAAGGGAATGAGGGGAACACTTCACAGCGGCCAAAAAACCCACAAAGAAAACCCCTCTGTAGAGGACACCGCTTGGTCCCATCTCTGCTGCGGGAACCGACGCTCCTTGTGCCGCTACGTGATCTCTGGGTAATGGCTGCGATTTCTAGTTGGAGGCGGGTCATGATAGCGTTACAGGTTGGGATAAACCCCTGCTTCAGGGCAAACAGAAGAAACAGTTACATTCCTTTTCGGAGGCAGAGGGCTGAAGCAAGAGCAGCTTCCACCGCAGCGCAGGCACGCGTCCCCACCCACGGCCAGGTAGGTGCAGGCAGCCTGCGGGCAGGAGCGCCTCGGCTCGCGGTGCGAGAGCGGCACGGAGCGAAGCCGGGGAAGCGCCGTCTTGTTGCGCGAGTCCTTCACCTTTAGGAGGGGGCTTTGGGCCAGTGCCTTTCTAGGACGAGGCTTGGGGCGATGAGCGAAGGACCTGATTCAAACCCAGGGCTTTGCGCAGGCACTGCCGGCCTCGCCGCCGCCCAGCCGGGATTGCCGGGCTCCGCTCAGCCCCCGAGGCCACCGAGAGGTGTCGAGTGATGAATTCCTTGAGGCAGACGGACTGACATCTCCATCCCTTGCAGCTTTGTGTGTGTTTCGCAGGGGAGGCCCGAGTTGCTGCCTGTGTGCTTTTTCTTTTCCTCCAGCTCTTCTTTTTAAGCCGCACGCTGATTTTTTGTTTCGCTTTCCCATGAAACTCTCTGATGACCGAGGCAGCATCCCCATGAAACCTGCTGCGTTGCCATTTCATTCACGCTGCTTAAAACTGTTTCTCTCAGCACTGGCTTGGGAGCCATAAAGAGCTGGGACAAAAGCTCAGCTAAGGCAGCAGCCCTCCTCCTTTCCTGCGCTTAGACCCAGCCGTGCAGCGGCTTCGCACCCCGGGCTCCGGATTTGACACCTGCCTGCAGCGAGCCAGCGGGGACACCGCCTGCTTCGCCTCTTCGAAAGCACGGGGCGGCAGGGAGCGGGGACACCGCCTGCTTCGCCTCTTCGAAAGCACGGGGCGGCAGGAAGCGGTTTTTTCTTCCCCGACCGCAGCGGGGCTGGGTGCTGGGAGAAGGCGACGGCTGCCAAGGGGTGATGAATTGGTGGTGGCAAGCGAGAACGTGGGGGTGTTCGTACAGGTGGGCTTTCCCTGCTCTGCCAGAATTAAAAATGCCCAAAGCGGGGACACCGCCTGCTTCGCCTCTTCGAAAGCACGGGGCGGCAGGAAGCGGTTTTTTCTTCCCCGACCGCAGCGGGGCTGGGTGCTGGGAGAAGGCGACGGCTGCCAAGGGGTGATGAATTGGTGGTGGCAAGCGAGAACGTGGGGGTGTTCGTACAGGTGGGCTTTCCCTGCTCTGCCAGAATTAAAAATGCCCAAATAAAGCCCTGAGAAGCGAATCTTCCTTCTGTAAGGTTTACCCGGTGGTGGCAAGGCTCGTTATTGATTGTATATGGTGCAGGACTATGGCAGCGTGGGCTTGCTGTTACGCTCTTGCAAAGCTGGGCCCTGGTGAGCTGGGCAAGCTGTGGGGTTTGCCAGTGCTGCAGCCCCCTGCCCTGCCCTGCTCCCCATCCTCAGCCTAGCCCCTCGCAACCTCCCTTCGAGTGATGGACAAGTACTTTTTGAGTGGAAAAGCGAGGTGGTTCCTAGGTCTCGGGCTCCAAACCGCTGCTGGTAGCAAAGGAACTGCTGATCCACCTGTTTGCAACCCACCGCGTTGTAGAAAGCTGGCTTTGGGTTTTACCCTGTCCACCCCGAGCCCGCAGCGTGTCCCTTCAAAGCCACCTTGTTAGGCCTGTGGCAGGGCTGGTGGGCTGAGAAAGATGCAAGGTGAGCACCAGGCATGGGAGAGGTCACTATAATATCGTCTGTATTTGAGTTTAACCCGCTGTTGCGAAAACGGGGAAATAAGTCCAGTCTTGTGCGGCCAGCACCGAATGTGCGACAGATGCAAATCAGGAAACAAATAGTAATCGTTTATTTACAGCAACATTTACAGGTTCTTTTGGATTGCTGGTGATAGATTAAAAGCTACAGGTATAGCTAATATCACTTAGATCACTAACATAACACCACCAACACACACTATATGCACACACACACACACACTGACAACAATAACAGTAACAACTTGCCTGCTGTAGGCCTGACCGCCTGGCAAATAGACAAGCCCATCGAGCAGGGATACAGTGGAACAAGAGCCAGTAAAGTCGCGACAAACAAGAACCAAGGATACGCTCAGGGAAGCATAGGAATGCACCTGAGGAGAAAACGGGAAACACACCCGGGGAGGAAAAGTATGTCTCTCAGCATTAGCTGAGGTAAATAACCTTATTCACAAGGCGTCCCGAGTGGGGCGGATGGAGAAGGAGCGAATTCGTCGATCTGTCCAGTTGTCAGTATAGTCGAATTTTTACATTACGTCTCCGGGGTATACGTGGGGGTGGGGATGACTATAGACAATCTTATCACTGACGTTAATGCCACAAAGTCCGTTAATTCACACCTGCATGGGTGGAGGTAGCGGCTTCTTTTGTTTAGGGCAAAGAAAACAGGGGACTGGGACCACAGGGCCCCGTTTCACGCTCCTCCAGGCATCCAGATAACATCAGATATTGATCTAGTGATGCTTGCCACCCTCGCCCAGTGCTTGCCACCTCGCCCAGTGCTGAGTTTCATGCTTCCAGGCATGCATCTACTTGGTGTACCTGACTTGGACTTTGTGATTAACTTTGCTCTCTCTCTACACCTGCCCGTGGGTGAGTCGGGGCCTTTGCAGAGCGTTTCAAAGCGTCAGCCACTGTCTTGCCTCCTGTCCCATCCCACTTGCTGGGTTTTGGGGTAGGTGAATGTTTTGTATCCTCCCTTTTAAA